AGTAGCATCATGCACGTCAAATTGGGGATCGAGCGTTTTTGTGAGGTCGAGCGTTTTTTTGCAAGTCGAGCGTTTCTTCTCCAAAACGGGCGAACAACCAATTATCAGATTGATCACCATTCAAACGAGCAAAAATCACCCTCGAGCAGGAATTTGTTATACAAAGGGTTCTCCAGGTACATACAGAGGCTTGCCATGTGGTTATAAAGTGGGCCTACTAAGGGGATATGGCATATTACCTAACTGCAGGTCCCTGAAAGTATAGCCCCTGCAGCGAAAAAAAATGAAGAGGTCTATGCTGCAAGGCCGATAAGGAGACTGAGGCATTGGCTTAAACGTTCAACCTCAAACATGCATACTCGGCAACACGCGGCCGATGTGACATGTGCCATGCAAATCTTTGTTTTTTGGTCTTCGCTGCAATCTTGCACTGATCTCCACCTCAAAAACCACGCTGAATGTGACAATGGCTTGCCATAGCATCAGGTGTCCCACTGCCGGGCCGTGAGCTGGAAAAGCACTGCACCCCTTCTGTATATGAGCAACAGTCAAAACTCCTAATATCCTCCTTAATAACCCCTATGGTAGTGGACTGTAGAAACCCCTTGAAGGTGCTAAGAGTATGGACTACACAGAGCTTAAAGCCCTGAGGTGCTGCCCCAAGCCCTCGTCAAAGCGTGAAGGAAGCCTTACTTTGGGAATACCTTAACTGCCATTGCTCTCCAGGTGGCCGTCCTCGTAGAGGGCCTCCAGCCGCCACCGCTGCGGATACTTGAAAAGAGATGCCAAGTATCCTGGCTCATGAATCCAGACTCCAAGGTGTCATCATTTGTTCCTCTTTGAAAAAACCAAACTCGAACAATGCACGAGCATGTGCGTGGACAGCTTTCTTTAGCATGTTTGAAAGCAAGGTGCTCTATCAGCTTCATGCAGGGCAACGCAGGGTCCCTGTTTCCCGGTCAGACAAGTGTCGCCAAAACAGCTATATGCAATGTGCACATATGCAACTTGCAACGCATGAAAAGCAATTGAATCAACATAAAGACCTCTTGCAACTCTAACCACAATTCAATCAATCTTAAGATTCTTCTGACGGTGGGCTTTCTCCAACTTGATGGGTGAGTCATTGCTTTCGTATTTTCAATAACGCTCTTGTCCTCCACCGGCACATGTCAACCCTGCAGAATACTGTGAACTTTGGCAAGGGGCTGCCTAGCTTGCGCCTTATGGATGTTCATATCAGTATGGTAGGTCAACATTATACCAAATGGAATGCTATCTTTTGATCTCCTTCAAACTCTGCAATTACCGCAGAAACTTCAGGTGGACATGTAATGCCATGCAGAGTAACAATGTTGGCGTGGCAGACTGATTCACTCGCCCCTGCAGGCACTCCACGAGGCGCCACACCCAACACGAACAGCGCCGAGCTTAAATGCAAAACCAACTGTAGCCCAACAACGTCCGCTTACCACATTTACCTGGATCTTAGAACTCGATTAAAAAAATGACACACAACCCCTAAGAAACATACCAACCCAAAAGGCCTCATTATTCTACATACTCTGGGGACCCGGGTAGGAGTTTCCCGAGCACGTCAATAGCCGTTAACACATGCAGCCCGGTCTCCTCTCAAAGCGTTGGCGGGCTTTGCCTTCCTCAGCAGAGCGGAATTTCCCGAGGGACCCGAATAGTCCAATGTGAGGACCCATCACAGTCGCGCATCTCAGATTGTCCGTGAATCTCTTTTAAATATTCGTGTCCAGGACCTCTGCGAAAAGCAGCTTTGGAACAGCGCGGTTTCAGTTTGAATGGCCGTGCCTCCTGCAAGAGGTGAAGATTACTATTAGTATTTCTAGCTTCTGCCACGCCCCCGCTGCAGCCGCAGCAGCAGCAGCAAACATAGTCGCTCTCAAAACGATCAGACAAGCCAATGTGATCATGTTGGACCATTGGAATTCCAAACCGCAACGGATGCAAAACCTCAGTTCTGTTGTCCAGCCACATCGGCTTGAAGTGTCGGATAGTATAGCCTGGGCCGAGGCTTTACGAAGAAAACAAGGGCGATATGGGTTTCCCAAGACTAAGGGTCCCTTCTTAGATGGCACCTATAATCAGGATGCTCATACCTGGGGGAGTCTAACCTACCAGATTCAAACCTTGTCCAGTGACTGTGGTACACTAAGCTGCATACTATCAGGGTCATGCAAGGGATATACGGCCGCTAGTTGTTCAGGTTGCTACCCTAAGGTTCACGCGCGCTGAGAGACTCAGGCCAAGCATTCAAAGCACCTGGGAGGCTCCATCAGGATGTCTTACCAGTCCTCAGGGCTCCTTGAAGAAGAATCCTAAGCCCTGAACCCTGAACTCTCAGAAGCCCTGAGACCCAGTCTCAGCAGCAAAGCCCTTTACATAACATGCGCCAGTTCCCCGCTGACATCATTGTACATAACAGCAAAACCCCAGTTGCTCAGTTCCCCAAGCCAAGGAAGGTTGGCTATCACAGGACAAGATGAACGCAAGAAGTGTAAAGTGCACTCACCGATCTAAGGCAAAATAGTTGTGAAAAACCTAGGTAAGCATTTTACGAAATACCAGTGTTATCTCATCTGCAGTAAAGCTAGAAGGGACCATATGGGACACGTCTTGCCTGTAAGTTGAGCTTTCGCTGCACAATTTCGTCTCTAGCTTTTCTTGCCAAATGGCAATTTCTCAAAATTGCTGCTGCTCATGGCCACTCGTGTGTTCCCTACAACAGTAACCACAAGATCGCTGGTCTTCCATAACCTCCTTTCTTTACATGCCCAAACAGCTTTAAACCCCCAAATCCTAAAACCCAAAATCCTCAACCCTTAAACCCTACGCCCGAACCTCAAACTCGAGACCCTAAACATTAAAAAATACTAAACTTTATGTGAGCTATAATCTACACTCCTAGTATTCCCCTTATAATCCCTAATTGTAATAGTCCCCTATATAACCCTCCTCTAAGGAGTTTAAGACCCTAAAACCTAAATCCTACATAACCCTCTTTTAAGGAGTTTAGACTACAGCTCACATGCCCAAACAACTCTTCAAATGCGGCTTTGGAGCGCTGCAGCATGGAGTCTAGCTTGGCCAGCCGCCTTGCCAAGGACGGGGGGCTTAGGGTTTGAGACATACTAGTAGGGCTTAGGGACTAGGGTTTAAGGTTTACCCAACGGGTTCATTTCCAGGGACGGTTTTTAGTGGTATTTACAGGGTTTCG